TTTTGCCTCCAGGATAGGCAAAGGCCACCTGCCCCCACTTGGGCCCAATAATGTCCTTGACGTTGACCCATTTCTAGCAGTCCTCATCCTCCCCAGAGGATAGAAGGAGAGAGAGAAACCTTGAGCTCCCCCTAGAGGTTACATGTTTCTACTTATTGTTTCTTCATCAAAGTGTTGGAAGTTCCTGAAGAATATAGACTCTTAGTTGTTGGAGAACAGAGTTATATATGGGCTACATATTGGTAGTACACATTATATGTACCTCAGAATTGCATATCTGATCTTAGCATAATAAAAACGAAGTATGAATTATATTATCTGTGCAATGCTTAGCATAATAATTGTAAAGTGTCTCAGTAAATACCACTGTAGTCTCGCTCTTGAATAACAAAATTATGTATGATTATAAGTTGGAAATAAAAGTAACATGAATGGCTGCTTAATAAAGGACTAAAGAACAATACTATATATCTTATCTTCTACTGCTTGGGATACATGTAAACTGGGCAAGGCCATCATTACTAAGTCACCATTTTGAGTTTAAGATGAATGAAAACAGACAGATGTGGACTGTACTAATCCCTGTGGTCACCACAAGGTCAAAAAGTACCTCTGTGTAAGCAATATAGCTACAGAAACAAATCTTCAATACTCATATTATTTTTTTCTGGGTACCTGGTAAGCAAAAATCTTTATGGCCTGTATGGCCTATAACACCATCCAATCTTGAGTGTAGAAGTCTGAATTTCAAGTTCCAGCTCTACAACTAAAAAGCTGGTTGACTTCAGGAAAATTGCTTAATGTCTCTGAACTAGAAATTCCTTAATGGTGATGTGGAGTGAATAGTAATGGCTCCATGTCTTACGGGAGGCCTGTTGGGTAGCATCACGTTCAAGAACGTGTGGTACTGGAAATCATGACCCATTTGTGTCATCAATGAATGGGCCATTTCTAGTGAGGGGAGACAATAGATATACAAATGTGAAGGCTGGTTTGAGGTCTGAGGGGAGAGAGCTTGACCATAAGACATGTTTTCCTTCACTTAGCTTGAGCTGATCTTTTTTGGGAACATTATAATATAGGCTTCCATAGGTAGAAAATAGGTAAATAAGATATGTATCTGACAGATAAATAGACAGATGAAGAGAAGCAAAGGCAGCCTGTACAAAGCTTGTGCTAGGTACTTGCAGAACAAATGTTCATCTTTGGGTATAAGTTAGTGCCCAGGTCCTGGGACTGAGAACAAA